TCTCTCTCTCTCTCTCTCTCTCTCTCTCTCTCTTTCTTTCTTTCTTTCTTCTTGTCTTTTTTGCAGTACAGGGGATTGTATCCAGACCTTCACACTGTCACACTGTGCTACACCCCCAGCTGTTTTTTTGACTTTTTTTTTTTTTAAGATAGGATCTTACCAAGTCACTAACTGGCCCGGGCTAGGCTTGAACTCACCACCCTTCTGCCTTAGCCTCTGTGAGTGCTGGGATTACAGGACTGTGCTTCCAGCCTCTTGGTATCCAGTCAGTAATGCAGTGTTCTGAGACACCTTTGCAATTTGTGTAAATTTCTCCATTTTACCTGTCAGGTCCTTACCTATCTCCCTCCTTACCTGGTTCCCTGAGACCCTGTGCTTCTCAAAGTGTAGTCCTCAAATGCCCTGCTTCAGCATCATCTGAAGCACTGGTTTTAAACAACAACTTCCCTGGCCCACTTCAAGTCCCCTGAGTCAGACTCTATGGGGTAGAGCTTGAGAATTATGATATCAAGCCCTGAGATGATTCAGTTGCAGGATCAAGTTGAGAACTTCGGTGTACCAGGCCCTTGCTCTGGGTGTCCACCAGATCCTTCTATCCCAGGATGCTCTCTGCTGGCAGAATCTGCAGGCCTATGTCTTGGGACCCAGCTCAGGCACCTGCTGCTGGATGTCACTGCCTTCCTCCTTAGAACTGCTTCTCTTTCCACTCTTCGGGCTCCAGGTGCTTGCACCCGGTGGATCCCCATCCCCTTGCTAGTTCCCCTCCATTCCTCTTGTGCTGATTGAGCACCTGGACCAGACACAGGGGTGAAGGACCTTTCTCATCTTCTGGGACCTCTCAGCCCCACAGGAAGGGCTTCTTGTCAGCAACCTACAAAAGGTGGACTGAGAGAACACAGAAATTGTTTGCAGGGGCACTGTCCAAGGAGTTAGGCAAAAGAATAACCCCAGTAAGTAATAATGTTGTCTTGCATCTTTAAGAATAAATGAGATTATTGCAGGTTGATAAGGAGTCAATGGGGAAAGGGCATCCAGGCAGAAGCAACAGCATGGACAGAGGCTTGACTCTGTAAGACCCATCATGGGGGTCGCAAGTCCTTCAGTTCATTTGTCTTCATCCATTTTCTGTTGCTATAAAAGAATACTTGAGACTGGATTCTTTATAAAGGAAAAAGGTTTATTTTGACTCACAGTTCAGGAAGGTGGAAAGTACATGATTAAGCAGCAATATCATGTAAAGGCCTCATGCTGTGTTGTGACTTGGCAAAAAAAAAAAAGGAGCAGGTCAGGCAGGCATGCTCACAAGAGAGGAACAGTGGGGACCAGAATGACCTGCTTTTGTAGTAACTAATCCATTCCTTAGAGAACTAACCCAGTCTCATGAAAAAGACATCGGTCCCTCTGTAAGGTCCCACTTCCCAGCACTGCTGCCCATGGTAACCCAGCTTCACATGAGTTTTCGCGAGACCAACTATAGCTACACCCTAACAGGGCCTCGAGGGGTGACCGTGGGGCAGATCATCTGGGCTCTAGCAAAGTGGCCGAGTCAGTTACATTTCATTCTGTGGATTCCTGTTTACCAACACCCCACATCCAAGTACCACCTCTTATTTCCTACATTTGCTTTCCTTTCATAGACTCACATTTTGTGTATATAATTTCCAAAGAAAGCTTTAATAAAACTACTGTAAAGGAACAGCTGGTATCACTTGTTCTAATCCAAGTTAATCACAAAATTAAATGCAAGGAGAACAAGCCAATACTCTAAACTTCTAGCCTTCTATGGAAGATTCTGGCCTTAACACTTTATTAAAAAGGAAAAGAAGTCAGTGGTAGGGAAGTGTCAAAGCCATAGTAACATGGAACTGAAACTTTAAAGCAATCAGTAGGTTTGGGAGAGATAAAGAGCATGTCTCTTGTTACAGGTTTTATTAGTCAGCTTTCTGTCACTGTAACAAAATACCTGAGATAATCACCCAGTAAGAGAAAAGGTTTATTTTGACTCACAGTTCCATGGTCGTTTGGCCCTGTTGCTTTAGACCGGTGGTGGCCCAGAACCTGTGGTGGGAGTGCATGACAGAAGAGGTCTGTTCACTTCACGGCAGCCAGGAAGCAAAGAGAGAGACCAGAAGTGACAAGGGTCCCAAAATCCCCTTCACAGACACACTCCCAGGGTTGTAATTAGATTCCACCTCCTAAATCTTCCTCGGACTGGAGACGAGCCTTCAGCACAAGGGCATTTGGGGGACATTAAGATCCAAACCAGAGGAAATTTCAGTGGGTGTGAGTGCTGGGTCCTTGCTGCATTTAGCATCGGCTCGTTTACCTGCAGGGACCTGGGCTTTCCTTTTGGAAACTCTGCTGTGGGCCTGGATGAGTCCACAGAGGTGTCAAGTAAGGAAGTAACACGGAAACATCTTGCATCATCTGTTTTGGAGAGATCAACATTTGACAATGTGGAGGTTGGATTGGGGTTGATCTGCCAGCCAGACAGCAGTGGAGTCTTGAGAAAATTCAGGCCCCAGAGCACCACAAAGGTCTGGAGCTAGGCTGGAGGGCTATAGAGGAGAGTGC